ACTTTCTCTGACTGGGGGCATGGGGGATGAAGAAAGGACAGACAATGCATCCTGCAGAGCACAACGAAACTCGTTGAGTTTATTGTTCACAGCACTGGGAGGAGTTAGCTAGCCTCCACAGGCAGATTCTGGAGGCCAGCAGACTCAGGCTGTGAACATCACACAGGAGCAAGCTTCCATTGCTAGGATTTGCACATACCACCAATTTTCATGCCGGGAGCAGAGGGAGGTTTTGCCGTCTCTCTGATCTGGCTGGGAGGGCTTTGCCTAGTTCCCACAAGACTAGGGCTTTGGTTCTTGAGCTATAGGCAAGTCTGTAGGGCATTTCCTTAATTCGTGGTTGATGGGGGGGGACCCAGGGTGGAGATGCCCTCTGATCGAGTGATCCTGGGTTCTATAAGAAAGCAGATTGAGCTGGGCAGGGGTGGCTTTAATCCCAGTATTCTAGAGGTAGAGGCAGGTAGAGCTCTGTGAGTTTGAGGCCAGCCTGGTCTACAGAGTGAGTTCCAGGACACAAAGCTACACAAAGAAACCCTGTCTCAAAAAAAAAAAAAAAAAAAAAGAAAGAAAGGAAGGAAGAAAGAAATGAAAGGAAGGAAAGAAAGCAGGCTGAGCAAGCCGTGGGGAGCAAGCCAGTCAGCAGCGGTCCCCATGGCCTCTGCTCCTGCTCCAGGCTCCTGCCCTGACCTCCTTCAGTGATAAACAGTGCTGTGGAAGTGTGAGCCACATAAACCCTTTCCTCCCCGAGTTGCTTTGGTCATGGTGTTTCATCACAGCAATGGTTACCCTAACTAAGACACCAACTCGGCACATGAGTTCTGAAATAACTCTGAAAGAAGGAAGCTTCTAATCAAACCTTCCCTTGCCCATTCTTGGATCATGAAAGTTGTCTAATGTCATTGGAATTGTGTCACAAACAGCTTAAAGGAGACATGACCCAATAATTCAGCATCTACCTCTAACATAATTTTTAAAATGTACTCTATGTATATAGGTATTTTGCCTGCATGTATGTCCGTGTACCATGTACACAAGGCATGCCCACATAGGTCAGAAGAGAACACTGGGCCCCAGGAATGAAGTTACAGATGACTGTGAGCTGCCCTGTGGATGCAGGGAATCACAAACAGGTCCCTCTGCAGAACAGCCGGTGCCTTCCAGTGTCTTCCGGCTGAAACATCCCCCTACCCCACACCCAGCATTTTTATTGTAGGAACTTACAGCTGCCACTCAACCCGGCACCATAACCATTACAGGTACGTAATACTGAGGTACTGAGAGACTGGGAATCTTACCCAGAGTCACACGGAAAATAACCAGAGATGGGAGCAGCCCCAGGGGGTAGGGAGCGTCACTTCTGAACATGCCCGGCACCTAGTCTCAACTAGATGGTGCAGATAAAGGTCTACCCGTGGCCATCCCTTTCCACAGATACACAGTAGAAGTCTCACAAGGGAACCTCAATATAGCGGGTTGTTGGTTAGGACTCGGTGCTTACTTCATGGTTAAGGAACCCAGCAGATCTCTAGGTATGGCAGAGTGTGTGTGTGTGTGTGTGTGTGTGCGTGATATTCCTGAATTCATGAGGTACATGAGCAGGGACAGAGAGGCTGGGGGGGGGGGGAGGTCCGGGGGGATCATTGCCTCGGTTAGAACAGAGACAAGTGAAGGTCATCATATTCATTAAAAACCCTCCAGAGGGCAGGAGGTTTCTCCAAATACACTGGATACGGGAATCTCCTATGACCCAGCTATATATACTGTTCCTGGGACTGTTCCTGAAGAAACGTAAGTCTGCGCACCACAGAGATTCTTAGACATCCATGTTGCCTGAGGCCTTACTCATGAGAGTCTGGACCGGGAGCCAGCCTTCACGCACAGGCCAGTGGAGATAGGAAATGTGGTACCCAGCGTACCCAGCGGAGTCTTCCTTAGCCGTGAAGAATGCAGGAGCGAGGGTGGAACTGGGGGGGGGGGAGCATTGTGTGAAGTGAAGTAAGTCACGAGCAAGAGCAAGCGCCACCCGTGTTCTCCTCTCAGGAACCAGGGTGATCAGCCGAGCGAGCGGGACTACTCCCGCCGCCGGAGAGTAAGGGCGCCTAAGGGCGCCGAAGGGAGGCAGGACACGAGAGTATTGGGGTGGAAGCGAGCAGAGCGGAACACATGTGTGAAAATACCCTAATGAAACACATGGTTTTGAGTGACAAGGAAAAGGGAAATTTTGTTCAACCACAAGAAGCGATCGCTCCTGGGCAAATGCGCACGTGACTGTGTCCGTGGCAGGACCTGCGTGTGTGTCTGCCCCCCAGCTTCCTCTCCACTACCCAGGAGACCGCCACACGGCCAGCTGAGGTCTCCGGGGGACGCCTGGAACCAGGCAACTTTGTCTTCCCACACATTTTGTTCTCCAATTATTGTGTCCCCACTAATTGTTATGTTTCTCTGAAATAGTTGTTATTACATGAAACACTCTTTGGTGTCCCTCAGCTTTTGAGGGTTGGTTTTGTTTGTTTGTTTGTTTGTTTTTTAAGAGACAGGTTTTTCCAGGCATGATGACACAGACTTGTAAGCTCAGAACTTCGGAGACCAAGGCAGGAGGGTGACAAATTCCAGGGCATACTGGAGTGCATGGGGGGGGGGGTACTGCTTTGCATTGCCCAGGATGGTCTGAACTCCTGAGCTGAACCCAGCACCGCCTTATCTTCTTTAAAGAAAGATGCCATTGAAGTGTATTCCCTGCTTTCAGTGGAATTGCTAGGGACCAACAGCCAGACAGGCAGAGAACCCTACCAAACAGTTGGAATTAAAAGACGTTTTCTTTAAATAGATTGGTCAAAAGAGGTACCAGATGCCAAACTGGAAGGGGCTGATGGTGTAGATCAGCATCGGGGAGTTTACCTGGTCTACACTGACTCTGGCTCTAGCTCTAACACCCAAACCCCAAAACAAAGAGACACTTAAGAATGCCACCAAAGACGAAACCTCTCAATGGCTTCTGCTTCAAGAGACTAATAAGCAAATAAAACCCACAGAGAGCAAAAACCAGGAAATAGAGATCAGAAAAGAAATTAAAATAGTCAGGGGAGATTGAGAAACAAGGATTAAGGAATGCCAAAGTTGCTTTCTCGGGAAATTTCCTTCTGACTCGTAGCTTTTACCTCTCCTCCTGTATGTCTTGCTCCCTTTGCATCTGGTTGGCAAACCTGCCTTTCTTATTCCCAGAGACCTCTCTGTCCCCAGAAGTTCCAACTAGCCTTTCTCTGCGTAGCTACTGGCTGCTCAGCTCTTCCATTAGACCGATCAGGCATGTTAAGCAGGCAAGTGAAACAAACACAACACAACTTTACGTAATTAAACACACATTCCTGTATCGTTAAATGCAGCATAAGCGAATATGAAACATCTTTACAAAGTTAAAATAATTTCCACAACAAGACAGTCTGTTCTGGAGCCATTGAGTGACCATGGCCCCCCAGAACACAGCTTTCAGCTGTCCCAAGTTCTGTGTTCCAACACAGAAGCCGATTCATGAAGGTTTTATAGTCTTTCAGGACACAGAAAGTCATACATCAAGACAACTTTAAAATACATTGGTGAGATCATAATGGCATTAGCCATTATGTCTATAGTCAGGGAGCTGAGAGAGATGTGCTCTAGTGCGCTTAGCTCATGTTGTTTCTTGTTGCGTGTGTGTGAATGTGTGTGTGTGCATGTGTGAGTGTGTATGTGCGCGCGTGTGCGTGCATGTGTGTATGTGCTACCTGTGTGGGGTGGGGTGCCTAAGAGTGCAGAGGTCAGAGGTTGACATCAAACGTGTTCATCATCCATCTCTTCCCGAATTTTTGAGGCAGGCTCTCTCACGTGAACTAATCAGCGTTGCTTCTGGAATCCTGTTTCTGGCTCCTATAGGCCGGGATTACAGACCAGCCACCCTGCCCCCACATTTATGTGGACCTAAGGGGATTTGAACTCTAGTCCTTTATTTACCCCTGAACCAGCTCCACAGCCTCAGCCCAGCATCTCATCATGCCTGTGCTAAGGCACCCCTGCCTGTTGAGAAACTTCCTCACAGACACACCCATGATGTCTGTCTCCTGGATCCTCTCAGGTTAACCGCCACAGGCACCCTGGGCCCCGATGGAGCTCATCTGGGACCTTTTCAAAGAGAAGGTGGAGTTAGGAGTAGGAGCAAGAGGCCAGGGCAGTTTGACAGGATCGGCTTGGGAAAAGCTGAATCACCGCGAGGACTTAGCTGTCCTTAAACCATGAATGGATAGGCAATCGGATCAATGCAGACTCGGGTTCCTCTGAAGGATGGGAGAGGTCTGATTTCATGCCCACATTTAGAGGGCCCGGAATTCGTTCCTGAATTCAATTGTCTCCTGAGAGAGGATTCGCGTCGATCTAGACCCCTACCGACCTATCAACGTACTCCAGCACACTTGGGCAAAAACAGAGGTCGGCACTGCTGGCTCCTGTCGGTGTCCGGGTTACATAAAACGGTCCTGTAAACGTGAACCTGCTGTCCCCGGTGGGCGCACAGCGAGACCTCCAGGCGCGCAGAGCTCGCCCACACCTGTGAAGTCTGCTCGCAGGCTCGGTTCCCTAAAGCAGGCTGGCAGCCGGCAATCGGCTCTGCAGAGGCTCTGTGTTAAGTAATCTCAGTGCAGTGCAAGCATTTGCATTCTGCAGAAAACGACGGGCTCCAGCCTGAGAAAACCACGTAGCGTTTGTTCTCTTCCTTTTGAGGCCTTCCCAAAATAGTTGCTTCAACCCGACTGCCACGAGTCCGCTGACCCCCTTGCGATTCCTTCGGGAGCAGGTCCCTGACCCACGCTCAGCTCCGAGCCCGAATCACTCCTTCGGCGGGCCTGCGGGAGGAGGCGGACCCTTCGCGAACAGATGGCCCCTCCTCGGAGGGGAGGGACCGACGCCCAGGGCCTTGTTCTCCAGCAGTGTCAGAGCCGGGTCCCAGGACTTAGTCCTGCGCCACCGTTCTGGCCGCGCGTCGCCCGCTGCCCAGCCGGCCCTGCAAACCAGAGGTCCGCGTGTCCCTCCGGTATGTCGTCCTGCAGCCGCGTGGCCCTGGTGACCGGGGCTAACAAGGGCATCGGCTTCGCCATCACGCGGGACCTGTGTCGGAAGTTCTCGGGGGACGTGGTGCTCACCGCGCGCGACGAGGCGCGGGGCAAGGCGGCGCTGCAGCAGCTGCAGGCGGAGGGCCTGAGTGCCCGCTTCCACCAGCTGGACATCGACGACCGGCACAGCATCCGCGCCCTGCGCGACTTTCTGCTCAAGGACTACGGGGGACTTAACGTGCTGGTCAACAACGCGGGCATCGCCTTTAGAAGTAGGTGCGGGCTCCAGAAGGAGGTGCCCGGGCTCTCCGAGGGTGCTGGGCAGCGAGCGCTGGAGATCCGGGAGGGCTACGCCATCCTCTCTGGGCGCGCCCGGCTCACACCCTGCGAGGCGGGTTCCCGCGTGCAGTAACTCGGGTGCGGGCCTGCCCAGGCTCCCCACTCCACGCCCTGCCTGCCCAGCCGGCCGGCGGCCTGTGCTGGCCTGTGCGATGCCTGAGGCCCTCCTTGGAACTTTCTGCTGCGCCCGTTTACAAGAAAACCGGCCTCCTGGGAGTGGGCCACGCCTTGCCAAGCTCATCAGCTTTCTGTTCCACGCACGAAAGCTTTTCTCACGGAGGGTCTTCCAAAAGCGGTTGGAGCTTTCGCTTTGCGTGAAACAAGGGCGCATTCATAGATGCCAGGGCACATCTTCTGAGGACAGGAAATGGGTTGCCCAGACACAATTAGCGCACGCTGGCAGGATAGTGGTTTCCTATGGGCTTTAGTGGAGAGTTTTGAGAGGCTCTAGCAAAAAGGAAGCGAGCCCCGCTTCCCTCCTCCTGGGAGCTAAGGTTTGTTATCAAACTTGCAAGTGTGGTTTTGAAAGCATCTTCCTTAAAGGGGGAGGGGGGGTCAAAATCACTTACTCTAACAAATGCTCAAATAGCAAAATTATTCAGTTGTCACATGGTGGGAACAAAAACAAACAGGCCAGCTTCACTTAAAACGCTGGGACATGTGAGGCAGAAACTGACAAGGGACAGAGACAATCGTGGAGCAGAAAGAAGTCTCTAACCTGTTGGTCCTGGGCAGACACAGGTGCATTGCATAACACCCAGTGCATACCGCGCATCAGCGGGCACTTCCAAACTCAGTCCATGGGCTTTGCGGAAGGGAAGGCGAGACTTCACCACCCCAGCTACTGTCAGCCACTGATGGAGGGTTTGTGGATTATGGCCCTGGAAGCCTCTGCTTCTGGAAGTGTGAGGGGATGCGTATGCGAACTTGAGTCCCAGCTATCCACATAGAAACGGAGGTCTTACACCTGCTGCATCAGAGCCTGTGTTTTCGCGCCTATATATATATATATATATATATATATATATATATATATATATATATATCCCAGCTTGAGATGGGGACGCCAAACTATGTGTTCTTGAGGCGTGATAAGAGCAGTGCCGATGAGAGCTCTTTCCCGGTGCTCATAAGAGCTTTAGAACTCTCATGTCTAGTTTAGAGGGAGTGTGTGTATGTGTGTGTATGTGTGTGTGTGTGCGTGCGTGTGTGCGTGCATCACCACGCTTAGCAAGATTGTTTTAAATTTAGCTAGCTTCTCTTTTAATCATTATATGATGGGATCCACCTTCTCACGAGAGTTTCAGAAGGAAATGTAATTCCTAATTCCTCTCTCTTTTTTTCCCTTATGCTTTTCAAAGTGGATGATCCAACACCCTTCGACATTCAAGCAGAGATGACACTGAAGACTAACTTTTTTGCCACTAGAAATGTCTGCGCTGAGTTACTACCCATAATGAAACCACATGGTAAGTCCAGCCGTCTTCTGACTGCCTTGGGCACAGGGCCTGCATTAGGTACACATACGACAAACAGAACACTCATACACACACATAAAATAAATCTAAAAATGCAATTGAATGAGAATTAAGTCAAGATACGAGAATTTATCTTCCTCTGTTTTTGTTTGTTTGGTTGCTTGGTTTGGTTTGTTGTATTGAAACGGGGTTTCACTCTATAATCTTGTCTAGCCTTGAGTTAGCTGTGTAGACCAGGCTGGCCTTCAACTTCCGATCCCCCCCTTCTACCTTTGCTCCCTGAATGCTGGGGTTCCAGGAGTGTACCGTCCAACGTACCAGTGTAGCTGTAAGAAAATCTCAATCTGAAAAATGTGATAAGAGACGCACTTGAGTTTCTGCCCACCCATCTGTTCACTCCCAACCCGCAAAGTCACTCCATCATTTTCTTAGTGGGACAGGATCATAGAAAGTCTGTGGGTACTCCCGTACCTGCGGTCCCCACACTCAGGAGCCTGGGATTCTGGAGGTCAGCTTGACCTACACTACCTGATCAAATACAGTTGATTCTACTGAAATAAGAAGTATATAGCATTAGCTGAGCAGTGGTGGTGTCGAACACCTTTAATCCCGGCGCTCAGGAGGCAGAGGCAGGCGGATCTCTGTGAGCTCGAGGCCACCGTGGTCTACAGAGTGAGTTCCAGGAGAGCCAAGGCTACAAAGAAATCCTGTCTTAAAAAACAAAAACATAAACAGGATTCAGCATCAAATGTGAATCAAGCTACTTGGATGGTAGAGAAAAGCCCAGCGTGGGCTTGGGGTTAACCCAGGGTGTAGGAACAAGACAGCCACTTCTCTGGTCTAGTCTGCAATTTCCTTCCCAAGGGGCAACCTGAGTATAGTATGGCTGGAATATCTGACTTTGCTAAAGGGATGTTCACTGAGGGGCACAGTGCTAACCACCATGGCCTCTTACTTTCTATTTAACTTTTAGCACATTGCTTACTTGCTCAAGACAAAAATAGCTTAAGCAACAATTAAGCCACTAGAGGGAGCTACTTGCCTGTTGTCGATAAAAAAGAGGAGGGAGGTGTCTCTGGATGCGTGGAGCCTCTGTCTGTCTCTCTCTCTCTCTCTCTCTCTCTCTCTCTCTCTCTCTCTCTCACACACACACACACACACACACACACACACACTCTTCTGGTTATGAGGCTGACCTTTGATCACCCCTGCATCTTCCACATATGTGCCCTCAGATCAAAGAGGACACAAGATAACTCCCCACAATAAGGATTATAATTCCCTGGAAGGAAGGCACCCAGCAGCCAGTGTTTACTTTCTTCTTTTCCCTCCCTTCTTCCTTACCTCCATCCTCTTTCCCTCCCTCCCTACCCCTTCCCTCCCTCCCTCTCTCTCCCCTTCCTCCCTCCTTTCTTTGTAGACTTTGCAGACCTGAAACTGTCTAGCCCCTGTGATATTTTTAACTATGGGGCTGTGGGTGGCCCCTGAGTCCCATGTCTGCTCTTGTGTCTTTGCTGTAAAAGCATAAAGCAGATGTGATCCTAAGGACTCCTTCCCTGGCTCAGTATTTTAGTTCCCCTTTGGGTGGTCCCCACCTGCCACAGATTTTCTACAGACCTAACATACCGTCATCTTTAAAGCAAGGCCTCTTAAACCATTTCCATTCTTGTGATAACAGGCATATGAAATAGGCATATAAGCCGACATTTTCTGATAATGAACCGTCAAGATCTTTATCTTAATTCTTTTAGAGCTGGGGGTGTGGCTCGGTTGGTGGATTGCTTGGCTGGCATGCACAATGTTTGTTCAATTCCTAGGAATGTATAAACTGGACATGGTGGCTTATGTCTATATTCTAGTGGTGGAGGCAGGAGGATCAGGAATCCAAGAGGTGGATTGAAGCCAGGTGATGGTAACATCCAGCACTCGGGAGGCAGAGGCATGTGGATCTCTGAGTTCAAGGCCAGCCTGGTCTACAGAGTGAGTTCCAGGACAGCCAGAGCTATACACAGAGAAACCCTGTCTCAAAAACAAACAAACAAAAAACCCACAGAATTTTGCCATTTAAGATTAAGGCAAATTTGCATACTATTGAGATGCATGTGCTTCTTTATTTACAGAGAGGGTTAGATGGGGGTTGAATATTTGATGCTGTAGGATGTAGCATATCTTCAACACTTTCCAAAGTCCATCAGTCTTTCTATATAGTACGAAATGGTGGAAGTATGTCAGGGCCTCAGAAGTAGTTGGAAATTCTATGCTAAGAATGCCTTATATGAAACTTAAGTCAGCAACTCCAGCAATAGTAGAATAGAATTGGCGTGGAAGGAAAACCTGGTGGTGGAGATGTGTGTGTCCCCTTGGAACACACACACACACACACACACACACACACACACACACACACACGCACATACACCCATGGGCCCATGGATTGTATGTCTCCTAGACTTGCTTTCTATCTTCATTTTTTGTTAAATTTATTGGGGGTATCTATGAGTATACACGTGTGTGTGTGTGTGTGTGTGTGTGTGTGTGTGTGGATGTGTGGATGTGTGAGTGTCAGAGAACAAACCACAGGAATCAGTCCCCGCCTCCCACTCTGGGGCCTCCCAATGGAACTCAGGTCATCAGGCTTGGAGGCAAGCGCCTTTACTTGCTGAGTCATGTCCTAATGAAACACAGGCTGCATGGTGACTGGTGCCTGCAGCCTAGTGGGCCCCGTGATGTGCCCTCTGTTGTCTGTTGCAGGGAGAGTGGTGAATGTCAGCAGTATGCAGGGGTCAAAGGCTCTTGAAAACTGCAGTGAAGATCTTCAGGAAAGGTTCCGATGTGACACACTTACAGAGGCGGACCTGGTCGACCTCATGAAAAAGTTTGTGGAGGACACCAAAAATGAAGTCCACGAGAGGGAAGGCTGGCCAGACTCGGCTTACGGGGTGTCCAAACTGGGGGTGACAGTCCTTTCCAGAATCCTGGCCCGGCAGCTGGATGAAAAGCGAAAAGCAGACAGGATTCTGCTCAATGCCTGCTGCCCGGGATGGGTGAAGACGGACATGTCCAGGGGCCAGGGCTCCAGGACTACAGAGGAGGGGGCTGAAACCCCTGTTTACTTGGCCCTTCTGCCTCCAGATGCCACTGAGCCTCAGGGCCAGCTGGTCTGTGACAAAGTCGTGCAAACATGGTGAGCATCTGCTCTGGGACTTAACGGGTTAATAAATGTTGGCGGGAGATGGAGTTGTAGTTTCTCTTTGCACACTGAGAAGGAAGGTCTGTGCACACCTGTGTGCTTCCAACAATCTAAACCTGCTATGTCCAAACTCTTTCTGATCCTTGATTTTTTTCATTCGGTTCGTTGTACCGGCTTTTCAAATAAAAAAAAATAGTTTTTATTTTATGTGTATATGCAAGTGCATGTGTGCATGCATGCCATTTGTATGCCTGGTGCCCCTAGATGCCTGCAAACAGTGTTGGATCCCCTGTACTGGAGTTACAGGTTCTTGTGAGGAACCCTACAAGAGCAACAAGCTCTCCTAACAACCAAGTCATCTCTCCAGCCCCTCAGCCTGCTTCTATTTCACTGACTAAATCCAACAACCACCCAGCCAGGCTGTAGGTCTACAACACTAATGTCTCACAGCAAGCTCCTGGGTGGCTTCCACAGCCACATGTCCCCCTGCAGCCAGCCTCCAGAGTCCTGCTGCTGCTGGGGCCCCGGGAAGGAGAACCCAGCATTGCAGGCTCTGCTTACGCACAGGAAGGCAACTAACTGCCTACTCTATTTCTACTTGCTCTCCAGCCAATCCCAGCCTCGAGTTTAGGAGACCATTGTCAACTTCGATACACGTTAGATGTGCTGCTCCTCCTCTGGATCCTCAGGGTTGAGTGACAAGTGTAGGTGACTTGGTCTCGATCTAATAAAAGCAGGACTGGTTGGACTGGCTTAGGGCTAGAGCTGTAAATGGCCACACCCCAATCATGTGGTCAGAGGGACAAACCCAGGCAGGCCAGGGGGAAAAAGTAGGTCAGCCCTCAAGAAGAACATTTACAAAGTGGCCTGGGGACTAGCCCCCTTTCCAAAGTGTCTCTTCCCTTGCCTCAGATAGTTCCTGAGAGCATGGGCATCTAGGAGGAGCTTCAAGATAATCTCATAGGCTTAAAATCCCTCTTTTCCTTACTTAGGTTGAATTGAACGCTTGCTGGCAGTCGAAAGGAACTTGAGTGATAGAATTGCATTCAAATGTTTGGTGGTATGCTTTAGGGAAAATGATAACCAGGGTTAGCATCCATAGGAAAGCACAATGGTGAACTGAAGACACCCACCGCTTATTAGGCTGTGCGTCATGCTGGTGTTTCCCAACGTGGCTCTAGGTAACCAGCGTGGTAATGCGTTATTACCGATGACATTATCCTTTTCCCTTTTTGTTCCTTCAGTTTGGTTTTTCTGGAGGGGAGGGAGTTGGGAGGGGAAGGACATGTAGCATACAAAAACATAAGTTGCATGGTGATTGCTACATATGTATACTATTCTATAAATTGTATTATTATTGCTCTCCTCCGTGTGTGTGTGTGTGTGTGTGTGTGTGTAGTGTGTGTGTGTAAATGCCATGTTATGAGTAAGCCATGACATCTACATGCTGCCGTATGTGTGCGGAGGTCAGAGGACAACTTCTCTCTACCATGGTAGCCAGGGGCCTGAGGTCTTCAGGTTTGTATGACAGGTGCTCTTACCTTCTGAGACATCTTGCCAACCCAACCTGGGGAGTTGTTCTGTTTTGTTTTGAAGATGAGGATTCGCTCTGTGGCCCATGTCTAGAACTATGTAGCCCAAACTCGTGTGAGTGTCCTGCTCCAGCCCCTGCGTTGGGTGATTCTGTACTGACCATACCCTGTCTTCACTCTGTTTTTAAAGGAAGGTATAAAATCTCACAGACCTTAATTCACTGTCCTGGACGACACAGAGCAAGGCATATCCAGGACTGTCTGAATACAATGTCCCTTGGTACCTGACACTGGGGACACCTGGCTTCTGTTACAGTTCTAAAAGCCAAGGTATAGTGGCTTGGCCCCCATAGGGAGGGACACTGTTAGGAGGTGTGGCTTTGTTGGAGTGGGTGTGGCCTTTTTGGAGGAATTGTGTCACTGTGGATGTGGGCTGGGAGGTCTCATATATGTTCAAGCCACATCCAACGTCCCTGTTCACTTCCTGTTGCCTTCAGTCAAGATGCAGACTCTCGGCTCCTTCTCCAGCACCACGTCTGCCTGCACACCGCCATGTCCCACCATGATGATAATGCACCGACCCTCTGACTCTGTAGGCCACTGCCTCAATTACATGTTTTCCTTATAAGAGTTGCCGTGGTCACGGTGTCTCTTCACAGCAATATAAATCCCAGGGGAGACACATGGGTGACTCTGCTGATGTGGGACTTAAGGGAGATTTTGGGATCTCTGTGACCTTCACTGTAGAGAGACAAGCCACGGGAATTCCCCTCAGCACTCAGGGGCCAGTATTGGTTCAAACCTCTGGCATTTGACCCTGAATGGTTTATTTTAGGCATATTTAAGCCCAGCACAATTTGGTGAAAATTATTCTGGTGATAATTAACTCAATCCCACGTGCCTGCCTGCTTGCCTGCCCACCTCTCAGACATGACTGACTAACCCCCTTAAACTGTGAGACACCCCCATCCCCCCACCCCCGTTAAATACTGTCTTATGTAAGTTGCCTTGTTCAGGATGTTTAGTCACAGCCATAGGAAAGTAAGACAGAAGCCTCGGCAGGAACTCAAGCAGGGCAGAAATCTGGAGGCAGGAGCTGAAGAAGTGACCTCGAAGGACCATTGCTTCCTGGCTTGCTCAGTCTGCTTTTTGAAGATTTTTACCTGCTCAGGGCTGCCCCACCCAGAGTGAGCTGGGCCCACCCACATCAAGCATTAACGCCTTACTAAATGGATTTGGATGGTGTCTTGGTTACTATTGCCCTGATGAAACACCACGTCCGAAAAGCAACCTGGGGAGGAAAGGGTTTGTTTGGCTTACACTTCGACCCGCACTGTTGTTCATCAATAAAGGAAGTCTGGGGAAGAACTCCAGCAGGGCAGGAACTAATACAGAGGCCATGGAGGGGTGCGGCTTGTTTCTCGTGGCTTGCTCAGCTGTTTTTGTTTGTTTTGCTTTGTTTTATAAAACCCGGGCCACCAGCCCAGGGGTGGGTCCACCGGCAATTGAGAAAATAAATGCCCATCTTATGGAGGCATTTTCTCAATTAAGCTTCCCTCCTTTCTGATGACTTGTGTCAAGCTGACATAAAACTAGGCAGCAGAGACGACTCCTTCTAAACTTTCATGCGCTGCCTAGCCCGAGTTGCTGTGATGGGCGAAAGGCGGGGGAGGGCCCTGCTGCAATGACCTCTCAGGCAGCAGGCAGCGCTGTTTCAGCCGGCTGGGAGCTGCAGCTGGAGTGATGAAGGCACCGCTGTCTGGGTGAGCCCTGCGGGCTCCGGGACCCCACCACAGGCCCACCGCTCTTCCGGATCGGGTTGGGTGGGCTCGGGGAAGGCTGAGACGTCTCACCCCGGAGCCCCCCAGCCTTGGGATCCTTCCTGCCTCCTCCCCGCGGTGGAGGATGTGGGTGTGGCCTCCGCGGCCGAAGGGGCAGGGGTGGACGACTCTGCCCTGCCCTGACTGACGCCCTCTGCCCTGCGGTGGTGTCAGGAAAGCCCAGGGTCACCTGCCTGCCCGTCCCTGTGAGGCTTCCCCCGCCCCCTGCATCGCGAGGCCACGCCCACCAGGGCAGCCCCGGGCCGCTCGGACCCCAAGGCCCCGCCCCCAGGGGCCCCACCCACCGTCCGTCAAGAGGGGTCTCCAGGCAACCCCGGAGCCCCGCCTGGAGATGCCAGATCCCAGCCGCCCGGCCGAACCTCCTCCCGCCCCGCTGCCAATCTCCTCCTTCGGCCCCGCCCCGCCCCGCATAGGCCACGCCCATCCCGCCCATGACGGCAGAGGTGCATCCGTACCGTCAAAGCCCCGCCCTGCGGCCCCGCTCACGCGCCGAGGTCGTGGCCCCGCCCGCCCTGGAGGCCCCGCCCAGCCGCCCCGAGGCCCCGCCCAGCAGCCCCGAGGCCCCGCCTTCCGGCCCCGCCCCCAGCCGCCTGGTGCCGGGGAGTGGCGGCGACTGGGCCGGGCTGCTGCTGCGCTTCCTCCGCTCGCTGCTGCGGCGTGCCCCGCAGCCCTCGGGCTCGGCCCAGCCCCCCGGTAAGCCTTGTTCGTCCCCGCCCGGCGGGCCCGGGGCGGCGGGTGCGCAGGGCCGGGCGGCGGCGCGTCTGCTGCACTGCGGGTACGGCCGCGCGTGGGTGTGGGCTGCAGCCCCGGCCTCCTGCGCCCCGCACGGTGCCTGCGAGCGGGCCTCGGGCCGCAGGTGGAGGTCGGATGGCGCCCCTCTCCGCCTGGCCGGCCCAGGGCGGGTGTAGGCGCTCAGCCTTTGTCGGGCAGGGCTTCCCGGTGCCCGTGTGGGTGCACCAGCCGGCCCGGCCCGGCCCTGCGCCTGCGGATTAGCTGTCACCCGGTGGTGACAGCGGTGTCCCTCTCGGGAAACCTGGCAGGGGTGGTTTGTTGAGGACACCCCACATTTAAAATCTATTCCTGTGAGGTGCCAGGTGGCTTCTTTTTTTCTTCCTAGTGCCGTTTGATCTCCCTGTGCAAGACCAGTTGGTGAAGAGGGTCGATGCGCTGTAGGCGCAGGGACATTATCTGCAGGTAAATTGGAAGGCTGCTGGTTGTCGGGTTTTTACTGTGCTGGTCTGAGTCCTTCCTTGTAAGCGTATTTACAGTCGACTTCCGGACCTAGCAGACGGTTTGGGGTTTCCCACTGAAATTATGCATGGGTGCCGTGAGTGAGAGAGAGCTCCTACTGACGCTTTCTGTTGTAAGGGTTAATAAGGCATACGTGTGCATACCCCTGTTCCTTTTGTGTATAGTCATTTGCAGCCTACATAGCACTCACTTTGCTGAGCTGCTGTGTCTCACAAAGGTGTCCAGCGTAGCTTGCAAGAAGAGCAGTATACTGGTGACTTTTGCACTCATGACAGACATCCCACTGAACTAGCTCCCAATACTCTCATCTTTCTGCAGGAACGTCCCTCTTGGGACTCCAGTGTGCTTCCTAAGTGAAACATGTATTGTGCCGACACACAGCCGTGTAGCTTTGTAATCCCCCACGCCCTGTATTTTGAAG